ATCAGATTGGGGCCGATACAACATCGTCGTATTCATGTTTTAGTCTGTGCACCATTTACTGTTTTCAGAATAAAAGTTTTAATCGCTTACAGATAGTATATGCCTGTATGATTCCTGCCTGTTTATATGTCACTTGTGTTTATGTATTCACATGTCCTGTTTCTCTGGATTCCATCTTATTATAGCTTCGAAGATGGACTGAAGCTGGTCAAACTAAGAGGTGAAGCCATGCAGGTAATCATAGCTGGCTAAGAGATGGCTATAGCATATGTACCTCGTATTGAGTGTTTCATGACATGTTTTAGTAATAACGTTTCTACGAAACTGCCTACAGGAAGCTGCTGATGCTGCTAAAAGTGCAATGGTCAGTGTTATAGGACTGGACTCTGACAAAGTTCAACAGTTGTGTGATGCAGCCAATCAAGAAGTTGATGAAGCTGATAGAGTTCAGATTGCAAATTACCTATGTCCTGTAATGTTCCTTTAAATCAGATTCTTTTAGTATCAGTGCCTTGGTGTATTTATTAACTTAATGTATGAACTTTGGTATTGAATGCATTTTGGTAGGGTAATTATGCGGTATCTGGAGGTGTCAAGGGAATAGAAGCAGTAGAAGCCAAAGCAAAGTCATTCAAAGCTCGAATGACGGTAATTTTGTTTCATTGTCGTCATCGTCATCATCATCATCTTTTCACTGTTAATAACCATGGTTCCAACTTTTGTCAGGTTCGTTTAGCAGTTGCCGGTGCTTTTCATACAAGTTTCATGGAACCAGCTGTCTCAAGATTGGAGGCCGCATTGGCAGCCACTGAAATCAGACAACCAAGAATACCAGTTATATCCAATGTTGATGCACAACCACATGCAGATCCTGCCACAATTAAGAAGATCTTGGCACGCCAAGTAAACTACCCGTAACTTGCTTCTCCATGATAAAGCGGAGGAAACAATAATTTGATCCTATAAATTCAAACTTGCAGGTGACTTCTCCAGTTCAATGGGAAACAACAGTGAAGACTCTCCTAACCAAAGGACTGAAGAAGAGTTATGAGTTGGGACCTGGAAAGGTACAAATTTATCCCGATCTCATAAATTACAGAACCAGAGTCGTGTAGCAGTAACTCATTCTAATCTACACTCTTGAAAATTCCCATCTTACTTAGTTTATTAAAATCATTTTTCCAGGTTATTGCTGGCATTTTCAAGAGAATGGACAAGAAAGCTGAAATAGAGAATATCAGTGCATGAGAAGGAACGCTAGAAGCATGCCTCAAGTGGTTCCTGATCAACATAATCACAGCTGGAGCACAACGTGCACAGGACCTTCATTCCAGTGAATGGCAGTTTAAAATTTCCTGGACCATGATTTGCAACTTCAGTTTTGATTTGAGATTAATTTGTCTCGATGTGCACTAGAAACTAGACATTCAGATTGTCGACTGCGTCAAATAATTACAATGTATGGATTTACTTTGTACGTGGAGTAGCATTAAAAAACAGTTTAAAGGGAAGAAGGGGTTAAGACAAAGTGACTAATTATCACCTAATCTCTTTGTGATCTGTATGGAGAGGTTCTATCCAAGCCTGCTTAATAATGTTGTTGGCGTGCCTTGCCACCCTAAATGCAGGGAACTTCTTCTCTCACCCTTTTGTTTTGCGGATGATTTAATGGTTTTTACTAATGGGTTGTGAAATCTGGGGAATTTGCCTGTGAGATATTTAGGTGTAACCCTTATTACAAAGAAGCTCAGCTATGATGATTGTAAGCCCCATATCATTAAACTTCCTGTTCCAACTCCGCGTTCGGCATCAAATGGTCTCTTTTGCTTGAAAATTCAGTTGGTTTCCTCCCAGACCTTAGTATGCAAAACTATTGGTTCCCGTTTTTGTCATCTCATCCAAAGTCATCGGAGGCAGAGCAGAGATGCTATGCATTTCCAAGGGTAAAGAAGGTTTTCGGCTGCAGGGGCAAGTCTCATGGAAAAGTGGTACTTCTAAAAAAAAATTAATGTGAGTGTCCTGATTGTTTACGCATGCCCCAATAATTCTATCAGATTGTTTATGCATATTTTAATTAATTTTATAAATTTTAAAATTAATAATTATATAAATCTCAATTTGAGATTTGTGTATCTCAAACCAAGTAAAAAAGTATTACCCTTCCTAAGCAAGGTGGTGGATTGGGTCGAAAGAAGTGTTGCTCTGTCACTCTTCCTAAGCAGAAGGTGGATCGGCCTCTTTCTAGATCGGATCGGATGTGTGGTGAATGTTAGCTTGTGATTTTACCGTGAAATCTTTATGTGATCACATCAGGGAGAAGCAAGTGAGAGTTGACTTTCTACCCCCCCCCCCCCCCAACCAAAAAAA